TTATATTGCAGCTCTTAAATTCTGGATCACAGCCCTGCAGGTATCAGGGGTTGTTTGAGTGAAATCATGCCTGACCAATCTAATAGACTTCTATGATGAGATGATTGGCTCAGTGGATGAGGGGAGAGCAGTGGATGTTGTTTATCTTCTCTTTATCAAGGTTTTTGGATACAATCTCCCATAACTTCCTCACAGACAAGCTGATGAATTGCAGACTAGATAAGCAGACTGCGAGAGGTGTATTGACAGCCGGCTGAACTTCTAGGCTCATGCTGTGATCAGCGGCATGAAATCTAGGTAAAGGCCAGCCACTAGCAATGTACCCCAGGGATCGATACTGGGGCTGATGCTGGTTATCATATTCATTAATGGTTTCAACAGTGGGGCAGTGTGGCACCATCAGCTTTTCTTGTAGATCATATGAAGTTGGGAGTTGTTGATATACCAGATAAGTGTCCTGCAATTCAGAGGGATCTTGACGAGTTGGAGAAACGGGCAGGCAGAGACCTCATGTAGCTCAACAGAGAGAAATGCAACATCCTGCACCTGGGGAAGGGTAACCCCATAATAACAACATCTTGGGAGCTGACTGTCTGGAAAGAAGCTTTGCAGAAAAGGACATGGACAACAAGTTGACCAAGAGCCAGTGATGTACCCTTGCAGTAACAAAGGCCAACAGAGCTTTGCCAACCGTTTTGAAATGGGGCTGCATGGACAAAGAGACTGGACAGAAAATAATTAAAGAAGTGAGGTTGCAAGGTCCCCTCTATTCAGCACCGGTAAGGCCACAGCTGGAGTTCCAAGTCCAGTTCTGGGCTTCCCAGTACACGAGAGAGAAGGATATCCTGGAAAGAGCCCAGTAAAGGGTCACTAAGATGATTAAGGGCCTGGAACATCTTTCATATGAGGAAAGACTGAGAGTACCAGGACTGTCCAGCCTAGGTAAGGCTCAGGAGGATCTCATCAATACATATAAATATCTGAAGGGAGGGTGCAAAGAGGATTGAACCAGGCTCTTTTTAGCAGCGCCCAGGGACAGGACAAGAGGCAATGGGCACAAACTGAAACACAGGAGGTTCCCTCTGAACATCAGGAAACACTTTTTTTATTGTGAGAGTGACCAAGCACTGGCATGGGTTGCCCAGGAAGGTTGTGGAGCCTCCATCCTTGGACAGACTCAAAAGCAATCTGGGTATGGTGGCCCTGCTCGAGCAGGGCAGATTGGACAAGATGACCTTCAGAGCTCTCTTCCAACCTCAACCATTCTGTGAATAAAGAGGTTGAGGCCAGATTTTTGTCAATGGCACTTAAGGACAAGATGAGAGATATGCAGAAAATGAAATACAGGAGGCCCCGCTCTAAGCATTAGAGACAAAAAAAAAACCCCAACAATTTTATATGGTGAGGCTAGAACAGGTTGCCTGCATAAACAGTGGAGTGTCTTTCCTTGGAGACACTCAAAACCTGAGTGGATGTGGCCGTGAGCAGTCTGTGCTGGTTGACCCTACTACCTGACTTCCAGAGGCCCCTTCCACCCTTAACTGTTTTGTGACCGAGTGCTTCAAGCCAGCTTCTGCAGAAAGCTGGGCAGCTTGTCTGAACTTGACAATAATCAGACTCTGCTTGAGCGGCTTAACTAGGCTGAGCCTTTCCCTCAGTGAAGTGGGAGGGCGACCACCAGACCTGAGGGAAAGCTGCAGGCAGGCCCAGCAAAGCACTGTATCCCTGCTGTGAGCTGGCCTGGGGCAGCCAGCTTTGGGGGGTGATCAAAGCCGATGCCAGGAGGCTTTTGCCTAGAGCCTGAGAGAAAGAGATGTGGGGTGGGTGGGGCAATACAGAGGGAGTGCTGTGGGTGCAGACTTGGTTCTCTGGTTTGCACTCTGGCAGTGTAAGCTGTATATCTGAGCACCCTTCCCATTAGCCACGTGGAAATCGGCTGAGCTTGAGATTGCCAAAAAATCCTTATTCTTCCTGCCTATGTTGCCCCTGTCCTTTCCTCTGTCTGCTAGTGGTTATCACTTAAGCCAAATTGTTGGCTTTTGACATTTTCTGGCGCTCTAGTCCCTCATTATCGCCTTTCCACCCTGCCACAGGATTCCTAGACATCAGTCATCCTCTCCTTCAGTCTGGCTGCTAGCTGATCCATTCTGCACAGTCTTGAGATGGGAACCACATTTTTTCCCCCTTCCCACATGTCCTGACCGGCTCCCTAGCACCTCCTGGGAGAGTTTCAAAACCTCTGGTTGCATTTCCCTGCTTGCCTAGCGGCATGTTAGGATCCCACAGAGCCTGACGCCTTTTGCTTTAATGCGTCTGACCTCAGGGATCAATACTACTGTTTTGGCCAAAGAAATAACCGTGCATAACGAGGTTTATAGCATCGATTCCCTAGGCTAGGGCTCTTTGTTTTCATGAGCCACCAAGCTTGTCCCTCCCTTCCAAATAACGTGGATTGACAAATAAAATGTAAAAAATCAATAGTCGTCTTCATGCTTTTCTGGCCTGGGGGCATCCATGTGACCTGAACACCCTCCCCTTTTTCCTCACCTCACCTTCTAGCAATCAGTGTGCTGCATCCCCACGTTGCTGAGCTGGTTGGGGTCTGATGATGAATGTGTTCCTGCTGCATAGAGGGAATAGAAATTATTTCCTGCTCAGGAGTGTGTTTTAAAAGCACTGGGGAGAGGAACTGTAGGTTGCTTTGGAAGTGCTCAAAAGTATGGGTGGGCAGGATATTCTCCTCATCAGCCCCCTTCAATGGTTGTCATCAGATATGCAAATGATTACGAATAGGGGCTGATTTTATTTTTTTAAATAAGATCCCATTGCTAGTGAACACCTCCCTTGATTGCTACTTGTTATCCCCCGATGGGGGTCTCTGGGAATCTGTCCCAGATCACATGGGTTTTGCAGTTCTTGCCATCTTTCTCCTGACGTCTGCCCCTACCAGGCTGGGAAAGGGCATATTTTTATTGCTGCTCATTTTAGAAACCTTTTGCTCCTTCCCGTGTCGCAGCTTCTGATGAAGAGCAGCACAGCACATGGGCTTGCTGGGATAGCATACCCTGATGCCTGCACAGGGCAGGAGGGGCCACGGCAGATTCTGGCTGTAGCTGATTTCAGCTGAAGATAGCCTTGTATGTGCCCAATGTAGCCTTTTGGGGAAGTAAAGAATGGAAATTCTCATTGATTCATGCTACCCTTCCCCCATGAAGTTGGGAAACTCCTCCCAAAAAGGAGGGAGTGGGGAAAAGGCTTTCATAGTTCTTGGTCTTGATTACCATTTGTTAAGTTTTAAGGCAATGACAGCTCTTCTTAATTAAAACCAAACTTGAGATACCACCCTGGAGAGCCAGTCACACACGCACATATGTAAACTTCCCCTCTGTTTTCTTCTTTGTACTATGTAAGCTTCATACCTTCTGTTTCAGAAATACTCCTCTCCCCAACCATTATCATTAAAGAAGCTCTGGAAAAACACAAAACCAAAGGTGCAGGTCTGCCTTTTGATGTTACGTACTAGTGTGCTGGGCATCCAGCTGTACCCTAGAGCTTGTGTGTGCTCATAATTTTGATGAGCAGGGTGCGTCGTCTCCTCTCAAACTCTGGGAAGGGGCCAGTTTTTCTCCATGTCTCTTGCTATAAAATGAAATGTGTCCATGGAGAATAATATGTGCTTATTCAAAGGCTGTTCAGTTACAATTAGCACAAGGGACACCAATGGAAAATGTGTTAGAACAGAAACCTTGCCTGGCAAGGGGTGTTTGTGAAAAGGACTTACTGGTCTCTCTGCGTCCTGGGACAATTATTTCAGTGACAGTTAAAGGGTAATGGATTTGGTGTAAGCAACATTTAGTCTTGCTGTTGAAAAGCTTCTCACCTTAAGGAACAGCTCCAAAATACACTTGAGCTTTGTAGCACGATCTTTCTGACCATTAGAAGCATGGGTCTGAGGAACAAGCTTCCAGTTTCTTGTGCTCTTGCTTCTGTGGGTTTCCTTTTACCTCATACTTCTGTGGCATCTTTCACACTCAGGTCTCTAAAGCTTCAAGCGTGGTTGGTATTTGCTCCCTGACTAACCTAAGCAAGCTGTGGTAGAGGGATCAGAACGGGCAAGCAGGAATCAGGATTTCTGGGTCCTTTTCTCACCTCTGCCACCAACTGCATGATCTTAGTTGAGTCATTTGGTATCTCTTTTGTTTTGTGGTCTTTACACTCAGATTTCTCTGTTGTAGGTTTTCCAACAAGTGGATTTCAATAAGAAGCCAGGACGTATAAGTGCTAAACCTATAAACTTCGCAGTGATCTTGAAGCTTTCCAATGCCAACCTGCAGGAAAAGGCCTTCCGAGTAAGTGGAACCCCAGCGGCCAACAGTGCACAGCTTCTCTGTAAACAACAGAGTTGCCCTAGCAATATGCTTTGTGTTCCTGTCCTGTAGGGCTGGAGACTCGTTTCCCAGTCTGGGTGCTGTAGGGTTTAGCTCCTATCTGATCTCTCTCTTTCTGCTTCCCCTACCCAGGATGGACTCATTGAACAGCTCTACGACCTGCTGCTTGAATATGTCCATTGCCAAGCCTACAGCATTGGATTCCCAGAGTTGGTTCTCCCCACTGTCATTCAGGTAAGGTGTAAGATGCTTCTTGGTCACGCCACAAACGTGTACAGAGTGGGATAAAGTCGTTTAAGCTAACAGTGAACTCTAGCTGGCCCTCACAATGTGAGGAGAGCAACATTTACCTTTTTTTTTAATTATAGTTTTTCTTTGCATTTTGTGGAATTCTTGGGGAGGAACAGAGGCATCAGATCTAATTAGGAGGCTGAAGGTAGGTGAAAATGGCTATGGAGTTAGCCACTCTTCTGGGAGCTAAGGAGCAGAGGGCTGCACGACTGCTGTAGGGGTGTGGTTTTGACTAATGAACGCAGATGAGTTCTTGGCAATTCAGAGTTGTCCAAATTGCTGTATCATCTCAGAGCAGTACCTGTGCTCTGTGAGCCGCTGCTTTTCCGTGCCTTTCAGCCTCCCTCATGTGCTCTCCACAAGATGGCAATCTTCCCTCCTCTCACAGCATCTCCCTCAACTGGGGCACTTTCTCCCTGGATCCCTCTATACAAAACAGCACAATTCCTGTCTCCATCCCTTCCTCTTTGCTGCACAGTGCTGTGAAGTAGTCTCCTTTGCCTCTCCCCTGGCATTCTGCGGTGCAGGGTGTTCTTCCCAGCTACTTCACATTTATATGCTTCATTGTCTGCAATAAAACTGCCTAACAGTGCTGTGCATCTGGGTGCATAATCCTTCCCTAATACCTTGCTAGCTGGGTAGCTTCGGTTTTGAATGAGCAGTGACCTCTCTGCTTTGAACAGCAAGATTGCTTGGTGCAAACATGTTGGAACTTGTTCCCTCCCTTCCTCCCAGTCCTCTATTTTTAACTCATGAGTGGCAGGTGTCATGCAAGTTTGGCAGAGGGCTGCTGTCATATCCTCCATGGGGACATGAACCTCTGCTTTGCTTTGGTGTCTGCCGTGAGACCCTGTGTCTGCGTACCTTGTTGCTGTGATGCCTCTGGTTGGCATGGGAGCAGTGGCTCGGTTGGGACCCACAGGCTGCTTGGGAGGCAAATTTCCTTGTTTCTGCTCTATGTAATAGGCTGGCATCTGTCAGGCGCATGACTCTTGGCTGGGTCCCTGCAGCCTGGCACAGGCCATTGCCTAGCTGGCAGTAGGCAGCTTTGGCTAATGTGAGCTGACAGGCACTCTCTGTGCTAGGAGAGCAGCTCCTGTGCTTGCTCTCGCTTTGCGTGCTTCTCACTTATCGGCAGTGAACAAAGCCCTTTCCTCTCAGCCAGCAGCTGTTGAGAGCATCGAAGCTGTCGGAGCCGATGTTCTAGCTGGAATGAAAAACGGCTGACGGCCCTCTGGCACCAAGCGCCCTGTGGCTTCCAAACACACCCTGGGACCAGCCTGTATTTCTGCAGAGAATTAATGCTATCGGATTCCTGTTTGGCTGCCACTAACCACAGCCTCGTGGCGTCTGCTGGGCTGGGGTGCTGAGGTTAGCTTCCCAAAATCTCAGAGTCTTCGGGAAAGTGTGGGGGGGAAGCTTTTCTCCTGGAACACTTCCAGTTAACTGTGAAAATCCATCTGTCCTGATTCTTCCTCCCCGATGAGCTCACGCTTCTCTCAGTGCCGTGTCGTAGGGGCTATGTTCCAGCTGGCAAGGGTTGCGTTCCTCATCTTCTGGTCAGCGGCTTTGGGAGAAGCTAGGCTGAACTGCCTTCAAACTGAACTTTAAAACCTCCTTGCCTGGAAGGCAGGAAGCACCCGGGCAGATCAAAGGAAAGGAGAGCCAGTAGGGGCAGGAGACAGTTCAAAGGCTTCTGTTCTGCCCAGCCGCTGGGACAACCCCATGGTGGTCACTGCCTCCAAAGGCTGGTAGGGAGCTCCGAGTGCAGAGCCTGTGCATCTGGATGCTTGGAAGAGACTGCCTCTTCCCTCTTGTAGAGCTCTGATGGGCATCACAGAGCAAAGGTGGGAGGTTAGAGGGAAAAACTGGGCAGGTCTCGATAAGGGGTAGATGCTGCTGGGTGGAGGCAGGCGATGGCGTGATCTAGGCATGACTTGCAGCTAGGCAGGAGGTACTGGTTTGCTTTGCCAGCAGCCACTCCTACTGCTGCTCGCTCTCTGTCCTGGGTTGAATATTCCCTCTGCTTTTTGTGAGTGGGGGATTGGGCTTGATTTGGGTTCCCTGGAACACACACGCCCAGCTGCTTCAGATCATTTATAGTTCCCTGCGTCGTTTACAGTAAGAGGAGCTGGGTTTTTGCTGTGGTCTCTGCTGGTATAAACCATTGGTGTTTAAGGCTGGCAGTTCAACAGAATCAGTCCCACTAATCACAGAGCTGCTTAGCTAGGAACTAACGTGAGACGTTACCAACATATATGCACACACATACACACATATGTTCTGATTGCTTTTATTCTAGAAAGATATGGTTGTATTTGGCAGAGTGGAAAAAGGCATGCACTGAGTCCCTTTCTCGCTGTCCTCAATCTTCCTTTACCTTCTTGGTTGTGTTCCCTGCCTCTTAACACAGGACTGAGATCTCATTACATTTCATTAATATCTGTGGCAGATAGTGGTGAGGCTGTGAGGGATTGCAGGGGTAGGAGAGAGGAGGGGGAGAGAAGAAATGAAGCATACGGCTGTGAGAGCGAACACACAGCACCAAACTGCACAGATAGAGCCTGAGATTTTGCAGGATTTCTGGTGACACTTCTGCAGCGGAAGAAAAATAATAATGTATGTGGCAGCGGATGAAATGGATCTGGGGCTGCAGCTGTGGGGATCAAGTGAGATAAATCGAATGACAAATGCATCTCTCAGTGGAGATAAATATGCAGTACCTATAAAAAATAAATATTTTAGAAAGGGGGGTGAGGGTAGGACAGGCTTCACCAGCAGAAGAATAGTTTTGCTGATGGTTTCTTTGTACTTGTTTGACGGGCTGTTTGCTGTGTGGAAAAGGGGAAAGGTGTTCATTTTAACTCAACATTTTTCTGAGTTGGATGTGTGATGGCGTGTGGGCATACGTTGGGGATAAAGGGACACAAGAAGCCCCTGCTGCTGGGGGACATTCTCCGTGTGTGTAGCAGACAGCAGATCCTGCAGCAATATACCTATCAGGAGAGCAGTGTCCTGACAGAGAGGGGCTAGGTGTGACTGTCACATCTTGATTAACATTTAATACCTACCCACTTGGCATGTCCGATCAAGCCAACATGTAGGCTTGACAGGAGGGAGACATCTTCCTCCTTCTCCCAGCTCTGTCTTTTGAGGCAGAACATTCGAAGCCATAAGTAGAGAAGGCAGTACTGTATTTGCTGACTAGAAACCCTTTATCACTATCATGATAGCATCCGCAGATCCCAGCTGAGATGAAAGTTCCATTGTGGTTAACCATTTTCTTTTGCCTCATTGGATCTCTTTCTCTAAATCAAGTGTCTGTGTAGCGTGTGTGTGTACATATGGCTCTAGGAAAGAGCTTGGCCTGCAGAATTTGGATGGCACCCCAGAAGCTTGTCTTGGGGTTGGTCAAAACTGTTAGCAGAGAGTGTAGTAAACTGGAATTCAAGCCATGAGTCAATATGCACACCCCCATCTTTCTGTCAGCAAGAGCATCCGTTGCTGCCTCAGCTTTTAGTTTGGAGGTGTCAGAACACTGCAGTGGTGTTGGAGGGTGGTTTGTAGTGGGAGGGGAAATCTTTGGTGGGGAGAGCAGAGGTTTGCTTGAGGACAAGGCTACTGAGATAAAAAAAGAAAGTGACACAAAAAGGTGCCCTGTTTGCAATGGCATCTCATTGTCTGAGAGCAGTGAAGGGTGCTGTGGGTGCAGAGAGAGGGCAGGAGCAGTTTCTCTGTGAGTAGGATGGTCCTTGCCCTTTCAGGCAGCAGTGGGGTTTGTGGTTTCCTGGCAGACTGGTTTTTCTCCTGAGGGTTACACATAAGGCCTTGGGTCTAAAAGAAAGAATTATCTAGGCATATGCTGCACAACTTGTCCACAGAGAGGGTTATTTTGTAAATTTTTGTGTGGTGGGTGTGTGGGTTTGCGCCCTTGAAAAATTGGTGGTGCCAGCTGGAGCTGGGTTGGTACAGTCAGACATTAAGCAAACTTCACCCTATGTGACTCTGCACGTGGCCATCTGTCCTGACCCACAGCTCTGCTGCTGTAGCAGCACCAAGTTTTCCCACCAAGCTATGCCAAAGACCCTTACTCCCAGTCCACAGACACTTCCACTCCAATTTTAAGTCTCTTCTCAAGCTCTGCCTTCAATCCCAGCTATCAGTCTCATCCACAGCCTCTTGTATTTGGTCTTCCCATTCCCACTGGTGTTCTACAGTCCTAACCCACAGACACTTTTCCCCATTCTAACCCTGGCTTCCCCATGCTTTTGGCCAATCTTGCATCCACAGGTACCCACTGTTATTCCTGGTCTCCATGCATCTCGTCCATAGTCCCTTTTACTGTTGAGCTGAGCCGGAGACAGTGATATTCTAACTACAATGGCAGCTAGGAGCTGAGGCCTCAGAGAGCATAGACTTTTTTTCCTGCTGGCTGTTTGAACTCCACTGATACTTTTTTTTCCCCCCAGAAAGAAGCGGTGTTAAAGGGTGCAAAGAACTGGTTTTGAGCAAGGCCCCTGTACTGGATTATGTACAAACATCTGGCCTGTCACTGTAACGCTTTGCATCCTCCCAGCCCAGGGTGGCAGGACCCCCAGGGTTGATTATGGGTGATACACTGGAGTATGGTATGAATTGAAGGGAAAAGGCACCCCATGCTGTCTGTCACTGGGGGCTGGAAATGGTTTTTTGCTGATGGGATCTGTTTATGGAAACTATTACATTGCTTTCATTCTTCCTCTCCTTTTCCTCCTTCCAGCTGAAATTTTTCCTGAAGGAATGCAAGATTGCCAACTACTGCAAGCCTATCCGGCAGCTCCTGGAGAAACTGCAGGAAAATTCTGCCTACATCGCCAGCAAGCGTCAGAAAGCTACCTTCGGCGTGGCCAGCAGGGAGTCTGTGGTGAGTCTGCTACTTCGATTTGGGCTTCCTGGAAAGACAGTCAGACTGTCTTTCAGACTGCTGGGGTTGAGAGGGTGGCAGAGGGAGGAGGGACGACGAGATCATGGAAACGGGAGTATGTGGGGTGGGGCAGATGTTCACAAACAACTGAACTCGGCAGGGCTCTGATACTACAGCTGGCAAGACTCTGCAGCCAAGAGCCTCATGGAAAACACAGTCCATAAATTATAACCACCTATTATTTATAACACACACACACATATGCGTGGAAGAGCCTTGCTTTGCTGAGACATCTTTGCTGAGAAGTTCCTTGGGTTTCATCATCCCCTTCCTGATACATAGGTGCTAGTTTGTGCCTAAAATGATAGGGGGGATTCTGCTGCCTCTGTAAGCGTGTTGTTTCCTCCCAGCCTGTAGAGACCAACCTCCAGCAATGTAGAACCAAGCCATTGGCAGGCTGATATGTGGCAGTTCGGGATCCTGAGGCAAACCTTTCCCAATTTTCCTGCACCCTTGTGGAGACGGAGCTATAGAATCAGAAAAGTTATGAGCCGTAATAACAGTGATCAGGCATCCTGGGCACTGCAGTTGCTTCTCAAGAGAGATGCTGATATATTCTTCCATCTGGAGCAGTTGAGTTAAACGTCAAGGTTCTACCTTAGTGATGAGATGAAGAAGAGTGACTAAGGTGATGACCCCTCTCTTAGCTTAGCAAATGAACTGTAGCACAGCTAGAAAACAGTATATTAGAGGGTGTGCTAGCTAATAGTTGGCCATCTGGCTAACAGGCTGAGGGATGCTGCCTTTCTCCTTGTTTCCCCTGCTCCAGGGGTCTGCCTGCTCTGAGCCAAGTCCTCCTAGGCATGGTGTGGCATATTGTCAGGACGTTCCTTTCAGTATCCTCACTTGAAGCTTCTTTTTCTTTTGCTTTGCTCCATCCTTTACAGGGGATGTGTTGACCTGACCTGAACACTGAGGTGTTTGAAATCCAGGCCCTATGTAAATGAAGCCAAAGGGAAGGAGGCCTTGTTAATGAAGCTTTGTTTGTGTGTCCTTTGGGCTGGACATTTTATCTTTGCTTTTTATCCAGCACGGCAGCTTTTGCAAGCCTGCTAGCAGGTGAACTGTGTGTGTGCATGCCTCTCTGTGTGAGACAAAACAGTGGGTTTGACTCTTCCTTGCCTGGCAGGAGTGAGGTGAAAGTATCTCTGTCTGCAAAGTAATTGATGGGTCAGAGTGGTCTCTCTGGCCACGTGGTATCATTGGAAAGTCTGGAGTTCTGCACCATTGAAAGCTCCACCTGTTGGCATGGAGCTGAGCACGGAGCAGAAGTTGCAGTGCAGACTAATTTGTCTTCAGGCACTAAGGGGCAGGGACTGCAGGAAAATCAGCCTTTGAAATCCTGACATATCGATGCCAGGACACAGCAGCGCTATTCTGGGATTAAGGGGTTGGTGGAACTGGGTTTCAAGTGACTAAGTAGTCTTTGGTTCTGTAAATGCCATTCTGGGTTGGACTGTTTTGCTGAAGGAATTACGCTTCCCGTCGGGAGTGAAGTGGTTAGGGTTTTGTTGGTTTGTGTGTTTTGCGGGCAATGCTGTGACCACCCACCCTCTCTGCAGAGGTAGAGATTTCAGCCTCTAGGGCTCTCCATGAAACAGATGAGCTGGGGACAGTCGTTGGCTAAATAAAACAGGGTTTCCAACGACTCTGCCACTGTCTGCTTTTCCCAGCAACTCTGGCTGCAGTCCCTTGTGTCAGAACGAAATGATTATTTTAACATCTTGCTGCCTGTACGTGTCCTAGCTGACACCGGTGCACCTGCTTTCCTGGGGACATCTGGGTGGCTGAGTAGCATGAATCAGGGAGGGTTGGCTCTGGAGGGGGCAGCAGCAGGCAGCCTGCCTTGAGTAAGGGAGGTTGGTTAAGGGAAGCAGGCACCAGTTTGCCAAGCCTGTTTGGAGTCGGCTCTTCTGCCAGTTAAGGGGATAGAGCAGCAGTGTACTGTGCTGCTCAGGGAGGATGCCTGGATTGCCTGTGCAGTCTGTATTTTTGCACTGTGGTGGTGTCCTACGTGAGAAGGGAGCCTTTCTCTTCCTTCAGTTAATGGGATATCAGTGCTCCTGGGAGCAGAGGAAACAGCCTGGGGTGGAAGAGCCATAGTGGCTTATCTTTTGTGCCCGGAGGGCAGGTTTTGTGCCCAGAGGGCCGCGTGTTTTCCCCCTACTCCTTTGCAAGCAGATGGTATAGATTCCCAAGAAGGGCCAAAGCTCCCACAGAGACTGAGCTTCCCAGAACAATTTGGAGTGTCCCTCGAAATGTGGGGTTAGTTTACCAGGCTGTCTCCAAGATACGTCGGGCATTGGCACTTCTCATGAGCAAACACTTCCAGAAAAGGGGAGGGCTGAGGGGAGGTGTTTGCATGTCCCTCTTGCCAGCAAGAGCAATTGAAAGCAAATGCTCTCTGGTGTTCATGTCCATGCATTTGTGCCTGCCCCACTGTAGGAGCCCAAATTCTGAGCTAATTCTTCCATGCACCATGCTGAAATGCAGCTTTCATGGGGGGAGTTACAGAGAATTAGGTTTAATGAGGGTAATAAAGGTGGTGAATGTGATCAGATCTGCACTCCTGAGTAGTGGGCGTGCTTTAGAAAGCTGGATTTTACTTAAGGGTCTGTAATATATAATTTTAAAGAAGAAACAGCCTGGAGATTCAACTTAATGCTGCAGGGGGAGCATGGTGGTGCAATGTTTAATTTAACGTGGAGGGATCTTGCATCCCAGGAATTGTGGTGTGGAGGGATAGGCACACCAGATGTGTTCAGCCTGACTTCTTCCATGTTGTTTTAAGACTGAGAACTTTACTTTTTTTTTTTTTTTTTTTTTTTTAAAAGTGAATGCATTTTAGAACCGAGAT